ATATATATAACTATATGACCTATTATAAATATATAATATATAAGTGTATAATATTTACTATTATGCATATGATATATAATTATTAGCTTATTACTATATAATATTATTATTAGAATATTATATATATATATATACTTATATTTAAAATATATATATATATTATATAATAGTATAATAAATATTAATATATTAGTATATATTAATAATGATAATAATATAATAATAATTATAAAAATATAAATATAATCTCCTATTACTATTTTTTATATTAAATTATACCCTTAATACAATAAATAAATATATCAATTGTTTGCACCGTGTGTTGTGATGGTGCTGTGTGTTGTGTGGTGTTGGGTGTGTTTGGCGCAGTGAGCGTGCTCCATCTGATAATATTGTGTGTGTGTGGTTTGTGCTGTTGTGTCGGTCCCGTGTCTACAGTGATATGCTGTGTGTCGTGTCTGTGTCTCTTCCAAAGTTGAGGAAGTCTGTAAAGTCTGATTGGTTTCTGTGTCTTATTTCCTGTCTGAAATAAAAATGTGTTCTGTGTCGTCTGAACGAGACATTTTTTCTATGTATTTGTGTGGTTGTTTCATCCTTTTATATTGTATTATATCTTAGTGTGTTCGTCGTGTGAACTATTATATATATTATATATATTATATCATATATATTACACTCAATATATACTATATATATATATCTCTATTATATTATATCATATCTATCTAATATATCATTATACATATACATAGTAGCACTTGGTATACGATTATCATACACATATTGGAGATATATATTTAATATAATATACTATAATTCCATACATCTACTCTATATCATCTATACTACTGTACACTATACATACATACTCTAAAATAACATATATCATCTTAACTATCCAATACCTCTATATTATAATATACCTATATGACACATACATATAACACATATAGTGTTTTGGCCAGAGTGCTCCATTAATTCACTCCCGTGTTATTCATGCTAAGCTCGATATATAATGTTACATTGGAATAATAAACAAGTATGCGTGCAATGGGTATGTGCGTATTGAATGTTGTGTGGGATATATTTGTTGTCTAATTGAGTGTGGTGTTTTGTAGTGTATTTTTGGGATTTAGGATTGATTAATTAAGTATTATTATATATCAAATAATGACCTGAAATTAACTTTTCCATTCTCTGGAAAGAAAACCTCCTATCTCGAGTGAAATACTACGTGAAAGGTTGTTTTTGTTATATCAAAGTATTATATTCTCTCCTGTTAGCTATCCACGAATACCCTTAAGGGTTTATATCAGGTTATTGAGAGATGAGGGTTTATCTCCGGCTTATGGTTTGACTGTGTGATCGAAGTAATTAACCATAAGTCAAGGCAAACAGTTTAGTGGATCTTATGCTACATAAGAAGGAAAAGAAAAGAAGAAGGTTAACTCGAAGGAGAGTTTAAAAATAGCACATGGCATTTTTTATGGCGCGAATGGTGATCTAGATTTAACAAGCATGAACGGATTGCAATGAAGGTGGCGGAAAAATTTTAAGGGATCAATAAATGCGGAAACTGCATCACTCCGTAAAATCAGATATTGTGTAAATTAAATATTTCGTACCGATTTCCGGGGTGTTGACATCAACTGTTGGCTTCGCGGATGGAGAGTGTGTTTGGTAGGCTTAAGATGATAATGTCCCGTGTGGGTATGGTCGTTCGTGGTATCTACGAAGAGAACAGCTGGCGAAATCATATTGACATGAAAATTCCAGTTTACACAGCCGCCTATAAAAAGTCACCTGTTGTGCGCGTGGGTCATATGTGTCGGTGATTGTGGTAGGGAAGGGGCCTGGCACGGCAGCTGCTGACGAGTCTGCCGCAATATGCCCCGCTATACCTCTGTCTAATGGTGTGTGTGTAGCGGACGTAACTGATTTTCATCTTCGCAGTCTGTCTTTTTAAGATTGCTGTGTTAAAAGCAGGAATCTTCCCGTGACGTGAGCGTGTATTCAGGCAAATCAGTTTTAGAGCGACATCCACACATGCACGCACGCACATTCATTACTCGTAAGTTTCGGCCGGTTTGACTATAAAATTTGTGCCAGGGCCCGATACCAATGAAATTTCATAAATACCAGAACAGCAGACAATAAAGGCAATATCTGTCTATCCTGATAGTATAGAGCGATTTATGATGCTATCTTGATTTCGGCTCTCGCTGCTTCGTTTTGGTCTCAGTGGTGGCGTTGTGGGCGGTATATACATGTCCAAGACTGATAAATAATATTGTCATTCATATATCTCTATATTTATGCATATCAAAGTATAAGAGAAATTTGTTTTAGGTGTCGTGAGAAATCCTCGCATGCGCGATGCGCGCGTTAGTTCTAATAACCAAGCCGTGGTATATTCCATATATTTCAAAATGGTCGCATTTCTTTCCGGCGCAGCCTCTGTTGCACCTGGTCGAGTGAGCACGCGCGCGGAGTCGGAACGTTGTGTGTTGTGTGTCTGATTGGAGTGTTGTAGTTTGATTACAGTGATACAGTGTAACCGGTGAGGCTGATTACGGCTGTATAAGTCACTCGGTAGTATTATTATACAACTATATATATTATATAATATTACCTGCGGATATACATAGTATTAGTATATATATAAAATTCAATAGCATACACTAAGACGCGGGGTTAGGGTATGTGTCTGTTTTTTGATATACCTTCAAAAATTGCAACTTTAGGTTCCATCTTCTACTTACCCGTCTCTCTCTATACAATTACTTCTCGTTCCGGGTAAGAGCTATATGATCATCGTCAACTCTTGAGGGTGCGTCTGGGTCCGGTAAGGGGCATCGAACCTCGCTCGCGTCATTGGCCATCGGGGCGCCGGTGTCTCTCTCTAATGAGCCAACTGAAGGTGCCTAAGCCATTAAGTGGGGGAGCGTGGACCTTCAGTGTGATGGTATTATCATCCCATTCCTTACCTCGGTGAAGGGGGCGGGTGGGGGACTATTCTAGTTAGTCGGTATGAGGTGGTGTGATACGGCGGGGTTAGATAGGGTAGTATATTGGAGTGGGTGATGGTGTCGCAGTATATTACTAGGTATTCATATTATAGGTGGGTGAGGTAGTATAGTGTTTGGGAGGTAGTAGGGGTATAGATGTAATCAGTGGAATATATCTATGATGAGGACTCCATATTCTATATGAGTAGTGTGTAGGGTACTATATAATAAAAATCGGGATGGGGTAGGCTAAGGTATACTAAATGGTGTTGTAATTTGAAGGGTCGGTGAGTATATAATATAATTGTGTTTTATTATGGTATATAGAGAAGGATAGATATATATATAAAATAATAACTATAAATGTATGTGTATAATGTAATTCGGCATAACTATACATTATAACATGATTGTGTGTGTGTCGGTTGTGTGTTGGTGGTGTTGGTTTGTAGTATGTACTTGTATGGTTATGGATTGTATGTAATATGTATGTAGTCATGGTAGGTATGGTGCACGGTGACGCAACGAAACGAGACCCTAGTACGTGTATTCATGCTACTTATGATACTATATACACATACTAGTGTTGAACAGTGACCATACAGCATTATGGATAGTATATCCACACACACCATGTAATATACATCACATACATACATACCATACATATGATATATATATACTATATATGTAATGATATAATATATACCAATATATAAATATATACATATAATATATATATATTACATTACTATATATTATAAATGTTATGTGACTATAATCATATGAATGCTATATAATATATATAATATAAGATTATCGGGTTGGAAAGAAACAATTACCTTTCTGTGTGCGTGGCGTGTAGAACTACGCTCGCGAATGCATTGCGGATACAACATATAAATAGGTAAGCACCTCTTATTCTATAACCAAACGGACATGACGAACTGTGTACTCCACAACTCACCGCCTGATCACTAACCATAGTATCACGAAATAGCAACATTAACATTCAATCTACTACATTAGATTTCCCAATTCTAACTCCAGCCTACCAGAAAAAAAACAATGGTGAAACCTACAACAGACAATCGTCGAAGATGCCCTCGTAGCGAGCGAGCTAGCACGATCTCTTCGACTCTAACCAAATATACTTACACAGTATAAACCGGCAACGATCATACATCCTTTAAGAATGATCTAATGTTCAGAATTCGTGCTGTTGTCGCGTGCTATCATTTTCTTCTTTCGCTGCTGGGGACATCATGTATCAAAATAGACATATGCCTCGGCTACGCTTTATAAATCGCGCTCTTCGGTTGATATTTTATTGTCTTTTTCGTGCGACGAAATTAATTGTCTATTTTGTTGCATCATCTTGCCATCATAAAGCCCCATTGCGGCTTAGCATTAATCAATATTATAAGACAGTTTATATGTTTGCGACGCTTGACGCTTTTTGAAACTCCGCAAACAATGGTAATCATTTTGCACAATCCAATAATCTCTAGAGACTTGACACTTTCGTAAATAGTCGTTGATATAACTTAACTCAAAATATCATTAGATTATGTGTCAGTCAGATGAGCTAAAGAAAACACACTGTCAAGCAGGGTTTTACTTGCCGAGATTTTTCTATTTGCACAGAGCGCGAAATCTTCCACATTGCCTCTTTATCCTGGTTCAGTCTCTCGGTGCCGCAGGGTATCTTAGGTTAGCATCATGATAAAAAAGTTTGTTCAATAATTGCAGAAGAAATTGGTGTATGTATTGGTTGTGTGCGTGCGCGCGAGCGTGCGTGAGAATGTGAGTGCATGTATTATGCAACATTTATATAAGTATATAGACCTTGCATGCGTGCTTTCTTTTTTGCGTGGACGATTTTATGTATCTATTTACTCCCTATCAACCGTTTCCAAAATCCACGTGCCCTCACGCTCCCCCTCATCGCTCTTGAAATAAGCGTCTGACCCCAGACTTCTTTCCCCGCAGTTCGGCGGCTACTCGGCGGAGAGTCTGTCGGACCGCATGCTGGACGCCGAGGCCCGCGTGCTCATCACGGCGGACGCTGTGTGGCGCGGCGCGAAGCTCATCCACCTCAAGGAGATCGCCGATGACGGTGAGTTGGCCCGTCGGGAGTGGCTGCTGTCTGTATGATTTTGCGTGACCATGAATCAGTTACAGTGATGTTTATTTGGCATCGTTATCATTTTTGCTATTGTTGATATTATTATTGGTATTATTGCAAAGACTGCTAATTTTTATGATAATTATTACTATTGCTACTGAGCCATTTTTCCCTCCATCATTTTTTTCTTTTGTCTTACAAACTTTCCTGATTTATTTTCCTATATATATTTTTTCTTGTTTTCCTAATCAATCTTTGATTATCATTCTTGACCTCATCTACTTCATATTGTTCTTCATCTACCTCCTCCTCCTCCTCCTTTTCTTCTTCTTTCTCCTCCTCCTTCCTCCTCTCTCCTCCTCTCCTCCTCCTCCTCCTCCTCTCCTCCTCCTCCTCCTCCTCCTCCTCCTCCTCTCCTCCTCCTCCTCCTCCTCCTCCCTCTCTTTCTCCCTCTCTTTCTCTCTCTCTACTACTTCAACTACTTCTCTAAGCTACTTCTCCTACTTCTCCTACTTCTCTACCTACTACTATTTCTACCAACTACTTCTACTACTTGTGCTACTTCTGCTACTACTACTACTACTACTACTACTACTACTACTTCTACTACTTCTACTACTTCTACTACTACTTCTACTACCTCTACTACCTCTACTACTTACTACTACTACTACTACTACTACTACTACTACTACTACTACTACTACTACTACTACTACTACTACTACTACTACTACTAACTACTACTTACTACTTATACTACTTCTACTACTTCTACTACTTCTACTACTTCTGCTACTTCTGCTTCTTCAACTACTTCTACTACTCTTACTACTCTACTGCTACTACTGCTACTACTGCTACTACTGCTACTGCTACTACTACTACTACTACTACTGCGACTACTACTACTACTACTGCGACTACTACTACTACTACTACTACTACTACTACTACTACTACTACTACTACTACTACTACTACTACTACTACTACTACTACTACTACTCCTACTACTACTCCTACTACTCCTACTACTCCTACTACTACTCCTACTACTCCTACTACTACTACCTACTACTACTACTACTACTACTACTACTACTACTACTACTACTACTACTACTACTACTACTACTACTACTACTACTACTACTACTACTACTACTACTACTACTAACTACTACTACTACTACTACTACTACTACTACTACTACTACTACTACTACTACTACTACTACTACTACTACTACTACTACTACTACTAGTACTACTACTACTACTACTAACTACTACTACTTCTACTACTAACTACTACTACTACTACTACTACTGCTACTACTACTACTACTACTACTACTACTACTACTACTACTACTACTACTACTACTACTACTACTACTACTACTACTACTACTACTACTACTACTACTATTATTATTACTCCTATTCCTACTCCTACTCCTATTCTACTACTATGTTACTACTCTACAACTCCTCTTCCTCTGTTCCAACACCTCTTCCTGTTTGTCTTCATCTTTGTAATTTTTCATTATCATCACAGCTATAAAGATCTGCAAGGAAAAGGAACAGAATGTCAGGCTTAACTTGGTTGTGCAGCACATGAAGAATGTCACTGCACCCCAGTCAGTCACCAACGGTGCGGCCAACGGGAACCCAGCGAAAAAAACACACTTTGATGACAAGGTGAGTTTCTCAATTTGGGGTTCTTATTTCTAGCAAGTGCCCCCCCACCCCTTTTGCTTCACTTTGCCTTTTCAGCCTCGGGCTTTTGCAGTGAGTAGCTTTAGTATGTAACACTGAGGTTGTCTTCAGTTTTTACGTACTAATTTATTATAAATTTCAGACTAGTGACAGTAGAGTGTTTGGTAAATATTGATTAACAAGAGTAAATGAAAGCCATTGTATAGCAGTCGTATTTACTCAAGTGCTGATTTGTCATTATTGAATATGGTTAAAAGCTATCTAGAATGTGAATAAAAGCTGGTGCAGTAAAATCATGTATAGAATATGCATGAACAGGAGACAAATGGCCATTTTAAAGATCATAAAGATGTCTTTTTCTAGGTAACTACTTACAAATAACACTGGAATGCTATGAAAATTCTACTAGTGAACCTCATTTAGCTACACTAAAAAGGAGTGTGAAAGCGAATGAAGACTGGGAGAGAAAGGGAAAGTAACAGTGTTAGAAAGCGTGGTTGTGTGATAACTAGAGCTAAAGAAGAATAACAATAGAGAAGCAGATAAATACTTAAATGGATAGAGGTAGAGTCTGAGGTGGACAGTACTGGTTAATCAAGATAATGTGGTCAGTATTACTCAAAGTAAAAGTTGACAAGAGTTAGGTAGTGAAGAGACGGTGAATTGAGCCTGCACAGGGTAGAACCAGAAACAAACAGAACTGGAATGTTGATAATTCTTGAGAGAGAGAGAGAGAGAGAGAGAGGCAAAAGATGAACATGAAAAATAGAAATGTATGAAATTATTTCCTCTAAATGAAGTAGATATTAGATGGTACTGATTTTATTTCATTATTATTATTTTTTTTTGAAAGTGGAAGAATAGAGTAGGAAGGTTATATGGAAGGGTTTTTCTTTCTCTTCAGAATGGTGACCTCAGTATTGGAATGTTCTTTAAAATTTCTTTAAGGCTGATATTGTCCCACTTTGAATTTTTTACTTGTCATTTTTTGGCATGTTGTCAAACTTTTCCTGTTATGAATATATTTTTAAGCATATATATTCCTGTTGTATTTTCTTATTATTTAGATTTAATGGTTATTATCATATATCATTGGGTTGATTGACTTGTCTATGTGGTGGTATGTGCCTGGCTGAACTTTGGGGATTTTTATTTTATGAATGTAACTTTAACAGGTTTTGAATTAATGCAGTGGCCACCATATGGTTATGTACAAAGGAAGAATATCAAATGATTTTAGAAATTTGAAGGGAAGAAAAAAAATTGTAGATAGGTGATTTGGAGGGATTGTTTATGGCATGTTGACAATGTTCATAGGATGTTAGAAATGCAGTAAAATCACATTATCATTACCCTTACATAAAGATACCCCAATTTTGTTATAGCTAGAAAAGGGTAAATATAAATAGAAAAAAAAAACTAAATCTGAATAGAAATAGACATATGGCAAAGAAGGATTAAAGAATTTTGTGAAAACTATAGAGCCAAATAGGAGGCTTTTGTAAAACCCCAAAGTTGCTCTGACTATATTGTATTGTATTATTTACTGTTACTTAATTATGCCATAATTTTCTAAACTAGAACTGAAGGATATGTAGAGATGAAAGTGTGATGAAAGAGAAGGAGTGAGAATGTTAATAAAGGAGAATGAAGAGAAGAATGAGAAACGTGTCTTATTATTATGGTCATGTTTGCATATCCTGACAATGTTTAATCATGTGTCTGTGTTTTGTGTTGTGCATATACATTGACATTCATATACTGTGATATTTCTTGTACATGACGGGGACACAAGTTCAACATTTTGGATCCTGTTTGTGTATTATTATAGGTGAAATGATTACAGGTGAACATGAATGGTTGCCTACAGAGTGCAGTGTACAAAAACATAAAATGACATTCCATGAGGTGACATAATTTCTGTTTTGCTTATTTATATGATGAAGATATTTTGATGGTTTTGAATATAGGTATAACATTATTAGTATCTCTTGCAAGTATAAATGTGTATTAGATCTTATTTCCTTGCTCTTTTATTTAAATGACTTACCTGTATGAATATCTATATTTTTTTTATTACCACTATGTTGCCAAGTGGATCCAGGACATTATGTGTTTACCACATCCAGTATAAAGAAAATACCTCAGCTATCTGTCCACTATTGTTCTTGATAAAAGCACGAATATGCAAATACCACAGATTATATTTTTATCTTTTGTTTTTCACATGCTTATTAATTATATGGCACTCATAGATAAAATAGAATGCACTGCTTAGATAGAGCAATGTAGTCAGCACAGTGATAGGGATCAAATGATGGTAAATCATAGGAGAGGAGTATTTCCCCACATGCACACTTAGCTTTGTAATTTCCTACACCTTCCCACCCTTTCTGAACCCTTGCATGGAATGAAGTTGAGGTAGGGAGTAGTGAAGTTGATTCTGTATTTGAGTTAAGTAAATAAAAGTGTTCTGACTGCCCACATATTAGTAGCTGTATGGTTGTTACATAAGTCAGGTCTGTTTATATCTGTCTAGTTCATCCTCAGTCCCATGTTGTTTCCTTCTCTCCATCCTACTATTCTGCTACCCCAACTATTTGCTATCTGTTTCTCTGCCTCTTCCTTGACCTGTCTCCATCCCTCTGACCCCATTCTTCTCCCTCTTGCTTGACCTGTCTCCATCCCTCACCCTCTTCCTCTGTCTCTCTGCTCCCTTCCCACTCCTGCTCCCACTTCCCCTTCTCCCTCTCTTCTCTCTCTCACACACATTCTCTCTCTCTCATTCTCTATCCCTCCATTGACTAAAAAAAATTCAGGCTGTAACAATTCAGAGTCTTGAGAAAGTAGTAAGCTGATAGTTTCAAACTTTGGATTCCTTGCAGTTGCTATTAGAAATCCATCATTGCTTGTTTACTGAATAAGTACTGATCATATACCACAATGCAGATTCCTAAAATTTTGGATGCTGAGAAAGTAAAATTAAGTTATTGAGAATTATTTGCTGGTGGCATAGCTCAGTGGTACAATGCTGGCTCTGCATATTGCTGGGCCCTGGGTTGTCACCTGGTCACCCCTCTCAGTTTATTCAGCTGTGAGTGAGTCCTGGCATGATGACATCAGTAAACCTGGGTCAAATTTTGAGTAAAAAAGAACTGGCCATTCTACCACATCATCTTGTGTCTTAGTATTTGTTTCTCTGAACATATGCCAAACTTTCTTTTATGGAACCAACTTTTTGACTTTTGTTAGCAATTGTCTTTACTCTGAAATAACTTTGGACACTAAAATGAGACCGAAAATCTTTTGGTAGATGCCTTTCATAAATTATGGCATATGTTTTTCCTTTTTGGTTGATGCATTTTATGAGTTGCGACATGGTCTTCCATTTGATGTTCAGGTTACATTTTTTCTAGATAGATGTTGACACATATTTCAAAGAAGCTTGATGTTTAAAGGTTACCTCATAAGTAACAGGAGAAGCTTGGACTGATGTTTAGTTTTGAACTTGAGAATGTACAATGCATCTTATATATCAAA